AAAATAATTAGAAAATTACATTGTGTTGACAGTGATAGTATTGAAGTATATGGGTGTGACATATGCTTTAAAGAAAAGCAATGTCGAATTGAGTATCATCAAGTCCAAGTAAATTCAAAGAGTACTTTAAGATGATAAATTATTGTTTACGGAGATCGTAGTGGACGTCTGGCTTGAGTGATTTTTCTTACTTCGTTACGTTTATGATTGTTTATTCTAGAGTTTTTTTGGTGTTCCTTCTTGTGGACAAGATTCGAGTTAAAAGAAGTATAGTATATTTTTCTGCTTTAATTGCACAAATCTTTATATGATGCTTTAGTTGCACATATATTTATGTGATTTGAAACAAGGTCTGAGATGTTGCTTTGCCAAGATTTTAGAAACTCTTTTGAAGTTGTTTTTATACATAATGAGCCAGATTACTCAATCTTTTCATTGGTGAATTCCAAGGTCCAGTTGCATGTTCTTGTATATCTTTATGATTTGTGATAACAAAAAAACTTAACAGAAGCTATTCGGGAGTTCAAGGGATATATGAGTGGTTGTTTTTATATGAAGGATTTTTTAGAAAAAATAAGTATTTTTTGGGAATAGAAGTTGCACGCAGCAAATAAATTATCTATTTTCCCAAATAAAATATATGATTGATATTATTTATGATGTTGGGCTGTTTGGTGGTCGATTAGTGGAATTCCCTATGGAACTGAACCAAATATTGGGATGGTTTGAGGAAAAGGTACTTTATGATCTAGAGAAGTAGATTGATCGAGAGATTAATTTATTTGGCTGCAACTAGACATGATAATATGTACTCTGTTCACATTTTTTCTTAGTTTATGAGAAACTAACGGAGAATCACTAGTTAGATGCACTGGAGGTCGTTTGCTATTTGAACGGCCATCATGGAAGGAGATTTTTATTTAAAGATGATTATAATTTTCATCTCACATCATGGTGTAATTCTGATTAGACTGAATGTCCTATTACCTAGAGATCTTTGAATGGTCGGTTAGTATAGTTGAGATCTTCTCCTGTATCTTGGAAGTAGAAGAACAGGTTGTGGTGGCTCTTTCGTCAAGTTGAAACAGAATATAGAGCTATGGTGGCTCTATTGAAGGATCTGAAATAGACCAAAGATGCGATGTCATCTATAGGTATTGCACTCTCATGTGCTATGGATATGTATTCCAATAGTAAATATGCTCTTCACATTACAGCTAATCATGTGTTTCATGAGATGATGAAATATGTAGTCAAATTGTCACTTCATCAAGGATGATATACAAACATGGTTTCTACGCTTGAATCATGTTGGCAGATGTTTTTACGAAGGTGCTTGGAAGCATCTTTTTCAAGTGATCATGCTTATACACTAAAGTTGGATATTTTCTACTGCAAACCAATAGTACTTATATATTGAAGTTCTATTGATGGCTCCAGATAAATAGGGATCCCCATTTAAAATCCTAAAATATCTGGAAATAAACTATCTTAATAAAAGGAGTGTCTGCTCTTTCACTTAATTCGGATACTCACATGAAAATCTTCAAATCCATTTAATTTCGTATGTTTTGCTCAAAGTGATTTACATTCTATCCAAAACTTACTTCAGACATTTAGTGAATAAAAAGACCTGATAAAGATTCGAAAACACTTTATTAAACATTGTTAGAATGTGTAAAAAACACAATACATCACTTGTCCAAGCTGGGCTTTTGAAATCTCAATGCTTGAACTTAAGAGAGATATTAGGATATTCAGATATTATGAATAGTTATATATTAAGATTGTCAATATTCTTTATTAATTTTAGGATTTTGTATATATAATCAAAAAAGTCTCTTTGTAAAGTTAAGAGAAATAATAAAGAAAATTTCTAGATTTTTAATTATAGCCATAGGGGAACATTCTCCAAAAACTAGGCCGGTTCTCTAATCCCATAGATAGGCCCGGCTCATCAATTAGATGGGCCATGTGTTATATTAAATTTGTTAAATGAAAGTAAATTTGAAAATTAGGCCCTCAATTTGTAAGAAGCTCAAAATTTAGGATCTTAAAATAGTAAAGAAAATTTGATTATCTATGTGGGGTTCTATGCATTTGTACACTCAGCCCTCCCCTAGAGCCGGCACTACCATAGATTATATGTTAGGATACTTTCGATATCGTCAAAGATACACAATATCTTGTGAATATTTTCACTTTTTACATTGTAACTAGGATAAGACCTACGCCTTGCGCAGGATAAGTTTATATAAAAATTACTTAAAAATAATTTTATATTATTGATTGAATTAATATTTTGGTCTTTAAAAAATTCATTTAATTTTTTTACTGATGAGCTGATCTTATTTTAAAAATGTTTTAGGTCAAAATATCACTTACCGCAAAGAATCTAACGTTTAGGTCGAAAAATCTCGGATCTATTTGGTTACAATGGAACTATGTCAGCTCGGTTTTATATCATGATTTAGCAATTTAAAAATTAATTATAGTTATGAGAAGTTTACGTTCACGTGCCAATCATATCTATCTTCAATTTTTTTTTGTCTTTTTCATTTTGGTTATTGCTCGATATAAATATTACGTTTGAAGTTTATTCTCATTTCGTTTGTTTGTTTTGGCCTGATATGTAGAAAATGCTTAAGATTTAAAATAATTAAAGAGATACATACTTATGTTAAGATCTGCACTTTTTTACAGAATAAGTATTTTATATTTATTATTTATTTTATATTTTCCTGCATATTATGAAATAATAAAATAATAAGTATTTATATTAAATAACTAAGAAATCAGTTACTATTATGTAATATATTGGCATGTGCATAAAAATCTAACAATCATTCTTGTTTATTCGCAATTAAGGTAAATAAATCAAAATAATCAATATTATCTATCGTATATGATATATAATTAAATTTAAATGATATTAATATAGATATATAGCACACTTTTAATATGGATATTTGTTAAATCAGATTTCTACTCATATGATTTTATGATTATTTGCATATTTGTGTAACAAAAATTTACACCAACAAATTTCTGTTAATGTGAGATGTTTAGTAGTTTTGATAATTTATAATCGTTTAAGAAAACAATGAAAGATTTGAAAATTAAGATATTAAATTTTCAATATATGTTCACTGCAAATATCAAAATATAAGTATGTATTTTCATATGATGTATAGTTTAATTTAAACGATATGAAATATATATATATGTGTGTATATTAACAAAAAAACTATTAAAATAAAATTATTTCTTCATATTGTTTTATACTAATTGTATGTTAATATATAAAAAATTTAAACATTGATCTTAAAAGCTTATGTGAGACTTTTAACAGTTTTAGTAATTTATACTCGCTTTGAAAAATTCGAAATACAACATACACAAAAAAAATCTAGATTTTTATTGTATGATTAATATAATTGTGTAATTTATTTTAATATTAAATAAATAAAAATGATAAAAATTATACAGATTGTTATCAAATATTTATTGTTTAAAATCATTAAATGCCATATATATATATATATATATATATATATATATTTTAATCACATTAGGTAATTCTGTAGGTTTTCTTTAAGGAAAGTCTACGAAAAAATAAATATTTGATATATGTGACCAACTATAGCTTGCAAAATATTATATTGTTAGAAAATATAATTTTTAGACTATAATTTATATAAGGTGATTTAGAATCCTTCTAAACTGATTTAAAAGACATAGAAAGCTGCCACGTACAACATAATTATGTTTTTAATTAATACAAATCTGAGGTTACATCTTTTTAAATGTTTCTCAATTAATATATAGGAGATATACAAACTCATGTAGAAATATACTATTCACGAGGTCTGATCAACCCTCTAAGGGAGAGAAAGAGAATAGTGACATACACCACCATTGTAGACAGAAGGCCATAGCGCCATTAATTAAACCCAGGCCCATGTGAAATGGGTTTAATAGGTTAAGTTAGCAATAAACAAGCGTTAATTAAGCTTAAAACACAAGTGATATAAATATGTAATTGTAAAACAACGGAGAACGTGAGATAAGCTAAACGTAATAACCACACTATAGTGTATAATGAACCATACGATATGTCTCCTCCTTTGAAGAAAACTAAAAGGAGAACTTCCTTCACCGCCTTCAAAGCCGGAGTCGAGCCACCTCAAGAAGATATCATAGCATCGTCGTATTTATCGCTAACTTCGTTGCCTGACNAAAACAACGGAGAACGTGAGATAAGCTAAACGTAATAACCACACTATAGTGTATAATGAACCATACGATATGTCTCCTCCTTTGAAGAAAACTAAAAGGAGAACTTCCTTCACCGCCTTCAAAGCCGGAGTCGAGCCACCTCAAGAAGATATCATAGCATCGTCGTATTTATCGCTAACTTCGTTGCCTGACGAAATCGTATTCAACTGCCTAATCCGTGTCCCAAGATGCTACTACCAAAACCTATGTCGTGTCTCAAAAACCCTAAGGTCTAGTCCATTCGCCTGAGCTCCACCGTTTGCGATCCTTCCTGCCTAATAAACCTGAGGACTCCGTCTATATCCTCTTTCATGCTGACAAAACCCCACTTTACTTTTGGTTCATTCTCCACGTGATTGAGAAGACGATGACGAAGATTGAATATCAACTGGTTCCATATCAGACCGATCCGTTCTAAGTTTATTTACCGATCTTGTACCATCGCGGTGGGATCAGAGATATTCTTCGTTGGTGGATATATAAAACCTTGATACTCGAAATGGAGAGTTAACAAAGGGACCAAACATGAACGTGGCTCGCACTTCTGAAGCCGAATATCGACGAGAAGGTGTATGTAATAGGAGGATGCGACGATGATATCCAAGTGGAGGTGTTCGATCCGAAGTCGCGTGAATGGAAAGTCGCGGAGAGTCCGAAAAAGGAACTGCAGTCGATGAGGCGGTTACGTGCGTCAGTGAATGGCAAATTGTATATGGTGAAAGATGAGAAGATCGTTGTATACGATCCTAGAAAAGGTCAGAGATTTAAGATGGTGGAGATGCCAAGAGCTAAACATGGTGGGGGGGTTGTTTTATATGTGTGCCGTTGCAGATGAGCTTTACTGTTATTATTTTACACATGGTTTGATGGGCTACGATACAAAGCTTAAGGTATGGAGAAGAGTGGTTGGTTTGGAGACACTTGGTGCTGCTATTTTGCATAACGCTGCAATGGTGGATTACGATGGAAAGCTGGTGATTTTTTGGCATGGATCGAGCAAGAAGGAAATTAGGTGTGCGGTAATCATGTTGGACTTGATTGGAGATGTGATTCGTGAGATGATCGAGTGGTGTGGGATTGTAGATACAATGCCATATAATTATAGTTTTCAAAGGTGTTTTGTTTGTTCTGATGATTGAATTTTTTTTGTTGCACTATTCGAAAACTGATTCAGTTACAAGACTTTTGTTGCATTGTTTTTTTTTTTTTTTTTGATTAAAAAAGGGTTAAACTCGGGTCTATTAAAGACACAGACCTAACTCCGGGTGAAGCTACATCCCATGGATAGACCCTCTCCTGGTCATTCAAATGGATCGAAAGCAATAATTCATATCTGTGTGGCCAATGGGGTATGGATAGATACCTTAAGATACCTTAAAGGTAAAACATGGATAATTTTAATATAACTTAATAAATAATTAAATTGTAAATCATTAAAAGAGACTCAACAAATGAGAAACTAACACATGTAATAAAGTATCTTAACTTTTTTGTTACAATTTTGTGTAACATTTTGTGATACCCTAATGGGCATGCTCTTAGAGTACATTTTGTGTTTTAACTCTTTTTTTTTTTTAATGGTCATTTAGTAAAGCATGCTCCATCATAGCTCCTCTTTTTAGGTTTAGTTGTAGGGTGTAGGGGATTTTTGTAAATTTTAAATAATGTATTATAAAGGTTTTAGTTGCTAGTTTTAACTTGTTTATGTTTCTTCTTATTAACCACTTATGAATCATGTCACCAAGCTTTAAACTTGTCAGATTTATGAACTAAACAAATAAACCAGACAAGTTTCAATGGAGAATATAGTTGAAAACCCACAGGGGAAAGACAATACCGACAGATTTTTCGACTAAATTCTCTGTCGTTACAAGCTTGTCGGGAAAAAGATCCATCAGAATTTCCACGAAATTCTAATGATTTTCCGGGGACGTGTTTCTGACGAATGATACCGTGAGAAGTAGTTGTAAGAACTTCGTCCGAAAATACTTCTGCCAACTTCGTAATTGTTGGAAAGTATTCCGAGGAAAAATCTCATCAGAAATTACTTCCGACAACATTTACACCATCGAAAAGGTTCCCGAGGAAATAATATAGTTGTACAATACCGGTGACACTATTTGATCGGACATTTCAGATAGAAAATACAGTTGGATTTTTCTGACAGAAAACGTCATCGGAATTTTTGGGCCAAATATTTAACGTAGAAATCATTTAATTTAATTTATTTGAATATTTTAATTAAGAGAATTTTTTCCAAATATGACTCACAACTTGATTTCAAATGCAAAAGTAAACTCAAACTTGAATCAAAAGCAAAAGTAACCTAAAAGGCTATTGAAATTACAATCAGCCCATTGTGAACAAACAAAAAACACAAAAGTAATATATATATATAAATGTATTAGTTTATAAATATAATGTAGTTAAATTTGTTTAAAATATTATTATGCTATACATCTGGCTTGAATTTAAAATTTGATATAGTTATAGTCGTATAACTACATTTACAGTTAGGTTATTCTTAAAAAATTATGAAGCGTTCTAGGTTTATGGTTTGAAAATAATAAGTCATTTGATGCATTGGTGTCTAGTAAAAAAAATTTTTTTCCTAGTTTGATTTGTATGTGAATGCGTTATTGAGTTTTTTTTGGATCCAATATCCATATTTTAAAATTAATTAACTTTAGTTGTTGGGTTATTAATGGACGTTATTGTTGATAAATAAAAAAAAACTTCAATTTAATTTTGTGAATAAATCGGTGTTACTACCAAAGGCTAGAATGAGTGGAGAAATCTCATATTCCAGAACTATAAATCCGTGGATGAGTACAACTCAGATTTATTTAAGATCGTCTCACATATGAGATTATGTGGTGAAGTAATAACCGAAACGGAGTTACTAGTAAAGACTCTCTCTACATTCCATTCAAGCAATGTGTTGCTGCAACAGAAATACAGAGAAATAGGCTTCACCACCTACACTGATCTGATCTCATGCCTATTATTGGATGAGACTAATAATGAGTTGCTCATGATGAACAGTGAGATGAAACCTCCTGGCTAAACCCCATTACCTGAAGCCAATAAGGCTATAGAAGAAAAGAGAGATTCTAAAGAAAGTAACCACGTCTAAAGTGATAAACCACACGGTCATAGCCGTGGGGGATGACAGGACGTGGTGGGAGTGGACACTATAGCTCCCATGGCCGTGGGAACAACTATAACTGTGGTCGTGGACCCAATTTCGGCCATGGTTGAGGCAGAGGACGTGGTGGTATCTCTAAACCACCACACTCGTCTAAATCAGTGTTCCACAGGTGTGGAATGGACAACCATTGGGCTAAGAATTGTAGGACTCCCAGGCATCTTTGTGACCTCTACCAAGAGAGCCAAGAAAGGAAAAATTCCAGAAGCCCATTTGGTCCACCATGATGGGGGAAACGACTTTGATCGTGAGCATGATGATCTTATGGATTATGAGACTTCAGAATGCCTAAGAGAATGAATTTCAACATTATATGTGTTTTTGTTTGATTTGGTGTTTGCTTTGTTTGTTGTTTACGCTTTCTTTATAATAATATGATTTCTTTGAGTTTATTTTATTGCTATTATCTTGTCTGATTTTTGCTTAATAATATGTGATTTTCATTATTAAAAACGCCAGTTTAAATTGCAAGTATAGTGAGTCCAATAAAGGACCACAACCAAAGTATTGTATCATTGCCTAAAGGGCATGATTTATATTCACCCAAAGAAGCTCATTAAGATATAAGATATAAAGATATAAGAATGGTTTCCATATTGAAACAATAGGCAAAGAAAAAAAAAGGTTCTTCAAATTTTAGAAAGAAAAATCGCCTAAGGCCATAAGAAAGTGGTCAAGACTATACCTGCATCCTCTAGTGATCTTTATTATGTCAAGATCAGTATGATAGAGGCAAAATACATGGTAAGCAGAATGGTTTACCCACAAAATTATTCACTTTATGGCATGATGGGATTGGCCATCCTGGTCCAAACATGATGCGAAATTGATAATGAAAAGGTCACAAAGAGTTATCCCATAGAATCTCACGTGTGTAGCATGAACACAAGGGAAACTCATTAGGCCATGATGTCAAAAGCACTTAAAGATTATAGTATGCCCATGAGGGGTCAGTGAGGACAAATCCGCACATGTCCATACTATAAATTAAATAGCTTGGCTGAATCCTTTTATAGATCCTTATTGGCCATTACCCATAGGTCCAAACTCTCAGTCCAAGGCTTGGGGACACACGAATTTGCATGTAAATGAAATAATAGCATCAGGCCATTTTAGTGAGCATAGATATTCCCATCTCAAATTGATTACGGATCAAGAGCCAGACATATTCTATCTTAAGACATTTGGATAAGCCACCACAGACATATATGTGCCGTCTAAGATGGAACCTCAGAAGAGGATAGAGATATATGAAAATCTCCCACGAAATGAAGTACTTTGAGCCAAATAAGGGTGATTGGTTTGAGGCCAGATACACGGATTATAACCAGGGGAGAGAATAATAAGCTGGTAAAAGAGTAAAAGAATGGTAAAAGAAATAGAATGGAAGAAACCATCATCGTCTTCGAAAAAACCTCAGACTAAAGAAAGTGAAATAAGACGTCCAAAGATAGATACAAAGATTATACATTTACAAAAGCTAGCTAATCAAATGCCAAACAAATTTGCTGACCCGAAAAGAAAAGAATGACTAAGTCATGTACACCAGCATGTAAAGCACCAACAAATTTTATTTCCAAAAGAGACACAATCAAGTTGCTACAGAGTCTATACAAGATAGACCAATAAGTTCCAAACAATAAGAATCCTCAGAAACAAACAGAAAGGTGCATAGAATGAAACATATCCGAGTTCAAAAGGGAAACCATCCCAGACATGGAAATAAGGCTGGCAAGCTGAACATATAAGGTACCATACAATGTAGCTTTTGACGCCAAGCTGCAAGGTAATAAAGGTCCTAGATAATAATGAAATCTCGATCGATTATATCATGTCTGGAATACATTGGAACAAGATAAGAATGTCAACGTTGATGATTAATTTTCATACAAAGGTGGCACTTGAACTTATAGATATAAAGCGAGGATCATGAATCCACGTAAATAATAGAGTACTCGTAAGATCAGATTAAACGAAAACGTGGAGTTAGAAAGAAAGAACGAAAGAAAGAAAGAAAGAAAAAAAAGAAAGAAAGGCGGATTTGATAAATATAATAAGAACGCCATATAAACCAGTGGAATAGGTTTTGTGAGGAAGGGTAATGAATATGAGAAATCGTGAGATATAAAGCATGGCTTATTGCACAAGGATTTTCACAAGACCAGGAATAGATAATGTGGTGGATGAAAATATCTTAAGTAAGCCTGGCTATATAAGAAAGAAATTAGATTAATGTATAAATGATGTAGTAAGCTGTATATGGTCCACTAGATAGTAATGATAAAGGTACCAGAAGGTATTGAGCTCGAAGATGAGAAAAGAAATTCTCAAGAAACAACATTGTATAAAGCTGAACTGTTCGTGGACTGAAACAAAGCAGCTTCATATAGTATGATAGATACTTAATGAAAGAAAGTTATAAGAAAAATTCAAATCAGTCCATATATCCTTATAAAAGAAATTTGATTTCCTTGTGTATATTTTATACTAACCAGCCTAAAGAGGGGTTATTTGGTTTTATTGTTGATTTGTTTTCAGACAGGTTATGTACATGGTGGTATACGCATCATCGGGTGTGTGGTCGAGAGCATGGAACCGTTGATGGGATAACCAAACACATCCGTATGGATCATGAAGCATCTGTGAAGTATTTTTGATCGAGGACCATAGCAACATGTCCGACCAGAGCATGGGGTGGTCGACATCAAAAGAAGCACATCACATCCAAATTTTCAGTGAAGTTCAAATCAGGTGGAGTAATATGTGTTGTACTCTTTTTCCTCTCTATGGCTTTATCCCCTTTTCCCTATGGGATTTTGGGTTTTTTTCGAGGAAATGTTTTAATGAGACAACATCCAAAGTGTATTACAAGCTCTATATGGTTATGATATCCAAGAGGGAGTATTATAAACTAATTAGTGGAAGGGCCAT